ATTAAAAAACAGTTCCTCTATTGGAAAATTAGTTGTACGGGGAGATTAGCCGATGTGCCCACCTAAAGGACAACTCCCACTGAGGCCTTTTACAGGCAAGAAAGAGCTCCTTACAACTCAGCTTCCGCCTTGTATAAATTATTAGAGGGAGGGATATGGGAGTGCTTTGGGGCAATGAGAAAAAAAAAATGTAATTTAAGAAAGCCAATCAGTTGTCTTGACTTTCTGCAGCCACTTGCTCACACAATCAATCGTAGATTTTGTTCTTAAGACTTCCTGCTGTTTTTCAAAGGGAGATACAAATTTTTTATGTTCCTATTTCTATATAACCAGCTAAAACTGCCATTTAATTTCATGATTCCAAACAGAACCTACACTGTCACTCTCAAGTGAGTCTGTGTATTGCACTGGCCTCACCAAAAATTAGAGAACTCATTAAGCAAAATAAGGAATTGCAAAAAGTGAAAAACTGATTTCACTTAAAAAAAAAGGGGGGGGGCAAGCAATTCCAATTGATCCCTACTTCTCTTTCTTGGAGCCTTGGCTTAGAGCTAGTTACCACATCAGAAATAATATTTGCATGAATATAATTGGTTGTTACTTTTGCGTTGGATTGCAACGTATCGGTTGAAGAGAGCTATAAAATACAGTGGCATCGTTTTCAGCTCTGCAGGCCTCCCTATAGGAGCTTTGAGCTGAAATACAGACACACCAACTACAAGAAACAAATGAAAGCTGTCACCAGTGTCAGTAGCAAAAACCGGGGGTCCATCCACACAAATTATGGACATCTGTATTCCTAATTGGCATCATTTCAGGCTGTGCCAGCAGAATGGTGGTGCCAAGAGAGTCTGACAGCTTCAGAAAATACTAGGTATCAGGTTTAGGTGATAGGAGACACTGATGAGGCATAGAAGTTCCTTTGTTTGGAATACTCTCCATATGGTTGTTATAATACCGGTGATTATTAGTTTCAGGTACCTCCAAATGGCACCCCTTGTCAATACTAAATTTGCTGGCTACTTCTTAAAACAGATCAGCTTATGATCCTAGGAGAACAAGTGGTATTGATGGTTATATGATCAGGGGATGGTTGGCAAAGATGCCTACAAATAGTTAACAAGGTAATGGTAAGAAATGTTGACCTTGATTTGTTTAGCTAAGATGTAAAGATTTTTGAAGGTCAAAGGTGTCCTTGTGTAGTGTTTTGGAGTCTAACTGTGTCTGACCCTCTAACATTAAGCTGCTGTGGCCTGCAGTTTTCAAGAGTGAAGCAAACCAGGGGAAAAGAGAGAAGGGGGAGAGAACAGGAAATGGAGTGAGGTGTTTCAGGAAGTTGTCAGGGGTTGACTGATTGATTCCAGATGGAAAAGGTCAGCCTTCGTGACCCAGGAAATACTCACTAGGGAAAGAAGTTGGCTTGTGGAAGGGGAAGGCCTGGGAGTGAGCCGAGGCTGGAATGCACTTTCCACTTCCTTTAGTCTTCAAACATTCAGAAACTTTAACTTCTCCAAAGAGAATAATATCAGTGTTGTCATCATTCATCAGAAAACAGTGAAGGAAGTTAAATTTGGAGCTTTGAATGTACCAAATGTATCTTCACCTCCATAATGTCCTTCATTCTTCCAGAAGTGGAGTGCATGAATGTAAAAGTCCATGTTTGTGTGTAGCTCCATATACAAGAACAACAACCAAACTTCCCTGGTTTCATGTAGTGGATTTTGTGAATTAAATCCTTTCCACTTTGCAAATTTGGTTTAATTGGCAAGCTCATCTAGATACTTGAGAATCTATAATATTTGGAATATTAAAAAAAAGAGAACTTGATATATATATATATATATATATATATATATATATATGCACACATACATTTGGACATAATTTAAAATCTTGTAATAAATTTTGTAGACACTGAAATAATTCAGGTTAATTCCCTTGCTGTCATGAGAGGCCAGCGCTAGCCAGCAAGAGATTAAAATTTATTTCCATTGTTAATAGAAAATAATGAAGTGCATCTGAACCATCAGGGTATGTCATTTGGGAAATGTTCACTTTGGAACGGACTCTCACTCCACCCAAATGGACAGTGATGAAATCAGCTGGCTGGAGAAAACCCCATATTTTGCAGCAGGAGTGCATGAGGAGCGCTAAAGCACAGTATGACAAGAAGCTTGTGGAATGAATTAAAGTGGTCTCAAAGAGAATGATCTTTACATCCACGTAGGCCCCAGGCAGGCGGGTTCCCCTCACTGTGCTGAGTACAGCTCGTTGGCAATTAAAGCCTAAAGCACCCTCTCATTCTCACCACCACCACTCCTTCCCCTTCCCCCCCAAGAGATGACAGCTATGTCTTTGAAAATTCATTCACACACAGTTTACCAAAGTGGTCTAATTCCTCTTTTTTCTCCACTTTCTTCTATTATTTTCAGGGGGGAAGCATATACAGAGGTAAATGCTTTCAACTTCAAGTTCCTCTTAAATCCATGGCCAGGAGACAGCCTCTCTCTTCCTTTGACTAGGATGCCATCCCGTGCTTTTCTGAGATGGCCCTGACAATCACTTACCCAGAGTGATGGATGTCTCCCTCTTATGGTGGCACTACATGATAGGAACTTTCTGGAAGGACTTTCTCCAGACTTTTAACATGTTAACATGAACACAATTGAAAACAGACCCAGAGCTAGACAGACTGTATCCCTCAATTGTGAGCAATTACATTGATAATAATTTTCTGAATGGCAACTGGAGAAATATTATGCTGTGTTTTGTACTAGTCAGATCATTGGTTATAATCCTAGAATCTGGCATGACAATACCCTAGATGTAGCAGGAGTTCAATGAATACCTTTGGGTTGGATGATTAAAGCTTACTCACATCCAACTATGATTTCCTTGTGATACAGTTATACCTATGGCACCAGGCTATGTGACATATTCCATGGACTCATGGTTTTAGGGATTATCCCAAGCCTCCATTTTATTAAAGTATACATTAAAAGATTTAAGTGTACCATCTATAACTCTGCAAGGTAAAAAAAAAAATCAGAAGAGTGTTGCCTCAGGAAGTAGGATTGATTAAGATAACTTAGTGTAATGAAAATATTGAAAATCGTGATATAGTAAGACTTACCTGCATGTATCCATTTGTCAAAATCATGCAGCTAAGATTTGTGCATTTCAATGCATGTAAATTTCACCTATAAATTCATTATATTATTCTGTTTATTTTGTTTACTTGAAATTATTCATAGTAAAATTTTTTAAATGACATTTAATGAATCTTATTTCATATGAGGAGCTAAAGCAGGATCAAGGTTTATCTCCCCTTCACCTAATAAGTAAGGAAGGGGTGGCAGAAAAATTAAAGACTATCAAAAACTTTAAGTTGGGAGTAGACAGGAAGAGTCATTTTCAAGTACAGCTTCTCATTATGTACTATTCATTGCCTTTCCTTGAAAAGTCTATATGTATACATGTATGATCTAGCCATGTGGCTCAGTTGGCAGCATTGTCCTGTATACCAAAAGGGTTGCAGGTTCAATTCCCACTCAGAGCACTTACCTGCGTTGAGGTTTGATCCCTGGTTGGAGTGGGTACGGGAGACAACTAATCGGTGTTATTTTCATCTCACTCTTTCTCCCTCTTCCTCTCTCTCTAAAAAGCAATAAAAATGTATCCTCGGGTGAGGATTTAAAAAGTGTATACATATGCATGAATACATATGTCACAAGTTCTTTTCTTAAAAACATTTACATGCATATCTGACAAGTACTCTTATCTAGGATAGTTCATCTTTCTGGATCAAGTACGTTGGTGGTGGGTACATTCGAGTCCACTCTAATCTCTACACTTTCCCTGCTACTCTGGCCTTGGCCAATCTCTGCCTCTTTGAACTTCTTGCACACTCCTCATCTGCAGTTTACTCATGGAATTCAATGGAATCTCATCCCTTGTGCTACTTGCTTTATGTTAGCCATGTATCTCCATCTTGAACATAAGGTCATTGAGGGCAGAAGACAAGCCTGGTAACTTTTGGTCTCTAGCCCCTGTGTTCCTCTTTCTAGAGTCTCCCCCTGAGCTTAGACCAGGGGTGAGCGAGGCTCAGTGAGTAATGTTGTCTGTCCTGTTAACTAATCAAACAAGGCAGAGGTGAGGCAATTAGGAGGGGAACTCATCAAGGCCCCACACTAAAAGCTTTACATGTATTTATCCTTATTTTGTCTCATTCAGCCCTTGAGAGATAGGCATTGTTTATGTTTTACAGATAGGAAAAATGGACATTCGTAAAGGTTGGTGATTTGTCCAAGGTTACAAGTTAGGAAGCGACAGGCATGAGATTTGAGTTCATTTCATCTGATGGGAAATCCATGCTCTTTCATTCTTCCATGCCCAACTCTTCCCTTTCTTCCGGTTAGATATTGAATGTCCTGTGTTCTCAACACTGAATTCCAGCAATCTGATCTTCTCGCCTAAAGCCTGAGCATCTCTGCCACTGCTCTCTAGTGGGCAGGGACACCACAAACAAGTCATCATCAGCATCTCCATGCCAGCCTTACGCTAGCACCTGTCAGAGGTGCAAGGACCCATTCCTGAGCTGGGAGAAATGACCTCCCAGCTGGTGCTCAGATCTTAGCCTCCTGATCACACACAGTCCACCCCTTGTTGCGATCAGCTGGGAATGAGTGTCCAGGTTCTTTTCTAGAAGCAGCAGGCATATGTCCAATTTCCCCCATTTCATCATCAGGCATCGTCTGAACACAAATATGTGATGGCACATGAGCGAAGGGCAGTCTCTTTTTCCATGAAGCTGTTCCCAAAATTATAAGAGGAGGTGAAATGTCAAGAGCATGGCCCTGTCCCCAAATTCTGTTCCATTCCTTGTCAGCTATATGGAAATCTGGCAAACAGAATTCTGGTACATTTACTATTTTATAAGAAACTAAGTCCACCCTCCCTTTTCTTCTTCTCCTTCTTTTTTTTTTACTTTAAATATGCAGGTTGTGTTATCAACAACAGTGAATGTAGATGGACATGTGTTGGCTGTTTCTGACAACATGTTTGTTCATAACAACTCTAAGCATGGGCGGAGAGCGAGAAGACTGGACCCTTCAGAAGGTAGGGTTGTCTGCGGGCAGGGCAAGAATGGCAGACAAATGAAGTTCTCCACAATTTCCTTGTTTGAATTTGAAATGTGTGCTTCTGAGTTAGGAGTGGAGAAAGTACACACAACCATGTGGGTTTTAAAGTGAAGTTGTAAACACTGACTCCCACCTACTCTGTTGTAGCCCCACATCATCTCCCCGTGATGTTTAAGCCCCCATGCCTCAGTCTGTTCCATTCAGTCCTATGTTTTTCTTTTTGCTAGGCAGGTATTTCGGGCAAATGTAGGCCTATGACATCTTAGTTAAACAGGAACATTAGAGTGCCAGACATGTATGAATAAGTGTCAGATGTGCCCTTAAACAGATTGTGGGCAAAACAAAACAATGTGCAGAATGAAACTGACACTAATTGATTTTTGTTTGCTTGGACTAGAGGAAATCATGGTCTGCTCTGGGTAGTTTTCCAAGTGCATTAAAGTAATTAGAAATACAGGTAACTGTTAAACTTCAACTTGTCTGAAAAATTAAAGCACATTGAGGAAGATAACTGACAAACCTAAGTAAAGGCCATCTGAGTTCTTCTCTTTCCTTCCCCACTCTCCACTCCCTGGAGCAGGAGGTCATGGACTACATGAATAGTGAAATTAGGGGCTATTTTAGGGTGATGCTTGGCTGTATACTGCCCACCAGCCCCCCACCCCAACTCGGCCTTTAAAAATGTGTCTTGTATCATTTAAAATAGGAATTAATGAACTGAAAGAAAATGATTGAATCAGTAAAGAATTTGGAGTGGTGTTAATTCTCCCACAGTGGGCACTGAAGGGGAGAAGAAAACCCCAGGGTTCAGAACTAGGAACCCATCCAGCTTCTTTTGACTGATTGGATGTGATTGACTGGCTGTTCAAAGGGGGCTCATGTTTTTGGAATCCTGCCAAAGTTCTCTCCCACCTTTGACCCTGTCAGCTTTGGAAATGGAGTGATGGATTGACTTTAGTTATGGCCTGAAAACCATATTGGGTTCCTGTTGGGATCTAAGGTCCAGAGGCCTCAAACATATGGACGAAGGGGGGAAATCCTTCCTACAAAGTTAGGAAAGTGATTAGAAATTGTCTCTTGATAGAGCAGAATAAGCCTGCACCTCTGACAGATTTTGCTTTCTCTTTCTCTGGCACATTAGCAGGCCTTGTAAATCTTAACATCTTAGTGCACAGGAGGTGGAGAGAGAAAAGGGATTTACACGTTTCCAGTGTGGTCAACTTATAAAAATATGGGGGAAAAGAACAAGTTCTCAAAACACCCTTTGCACAATTAGCTAAGTGTTCCATGTTTTCATACATAGTGGTCAACTCATTAGGCTTTAATGACCTGGTGAAAACCAACAACCAATTAAGGAATGATGGCAAGTCAGCAAAGCTCAACTTGAACTTCTTGGAATGATCAACAGCCTTTAAGAGCAGTCAGTTTCCCAAACTCCAAACTTCAACCACCAAAGGGCAGACCTGACTTTTCTTTTCTGTCTTTTTAGCTACCCCCTGCATCAAAGCCATTAGCCCAAGTGAAGGCTGGACCACAGGAGGAGCCATGGTCATCATCATTGGGGACAACTTCTTTGATGGCCTCCAAGTGGTGTTTGGGACCATGCTTGTATGGAGCGAGGTAGGCAGGGGCAACTTGCTCTCCTGATTTTCTTTGTCCCAAAGATTGTTTTGCTCTGGGTTTGTAACTAATAATTCCTGTAGTATCAGCAGCATAAATGCACATTATTAAGTACCAAAGATTAGCCACATAAACCACCAACATTCATTGCAATATTATTTATAATTGTGAAAAAATAAGAATAGCCTAGATATTGAGTAAATAAATGATAGAATATCATTCCACCACTAAAAATTGTGGGGGTTTTTTTGTGTTTTTTTTTCCCCCCTAGCCAGTTTGGCTCAGTGGATAGAGAATTGGCCTATAGACTGAAAGGTCCTAGATTTGATTCTGATCAAGGGCACATGCCTGGGTTGCCGGCTCAATACCCTGTAGGGGGCATGCAAGAGGCAGCCAATCAATGATTCTCTATCATCATTGATGTTTCTATCTCTCTCTCCCTTTCTTTCCAAAATCAATAAAAAAAATTTTTTTTTAAGTTGTGTTTTGAAAAAATTGTAATGATAGGAGAAGAGTGCATGTTTATGGTGTAATGCTAAGTGGAATAAAAAATCAGACAACAGTGTCTGAGAATGTAAAGTCTAATTACATAACATACATTCGTAGAAAAGTGCTGGAAACACACTGAAGATTAATAACAGTTGTCTCAGGTTATGCAATGTTAATATTTTTCCTTACATTTTTTCTGTAATTTCTAAATTTCCTAAAGGGGATATGTTCTACTTTCACAATGAGAAAACCAACAAGACATGTTACAGGAAGATAACTATTGATGTTAAGTTGGATGTGGAAGTTTCCAAATCAATATGTGAGGTCATAGCAGTGTAGGAATTACAGGGATGGGGGTGAGGTGGGCACAAGAGGTGGGAGGGACTTGAGCTGGGCAAGTAGGAAGGAAAGGACCTAGACAGGTTAGGTTGAGGGAAATTCCAGGGTAAGAGAGAAACATGTGAGAGACAGGAACAGGGTATTCAGAGTTTTCAGGGATTCAGGGATGCCGTGACTATGCCAGTTTGCCCTGGTGGGAGTAGTCTTGAGAGATTCTCAGGTTCTCAGTATTGTTGGTGATAAATTCTATAATAGGTGTTTCATTTCCATGCCTGTTCATTCTTCAGCTCATCACTCCTCATGCCATCAGAGTGCAGACTCCTCCTCGGCACATCCCTGGAGTGGTGGAAGTGACTCTGTCTTATAAATCCAAGCAGTTCTGCAAAGGAGCTCCAGGGAGGTTCATTTATACAGGTGAGTGAGAAAATGATTCCAAAGGGTACTGACACTGGTTCTCCTTTGGTCTAATTACCAGTATCTCTACTTTTTCATCATCCTAAACTTACTAGGTCTTTCTGCTTGTGTGGGAAGACTGGACTGGGTAAAAGGCATTGAATGGGGAAGAATAGACTTGATTCTAAATTTGTATTATACTTAAGCAGTTTCTGTAGAGTCTGGGAGATGGTCAGAGCAGCCCATCTCACAGGTACCTCCTTATAAATTTAACTCTGCTGGAACTTTGCTAGGATAGACCTTTATTCAAGCAACCAGACAAAAAATAGACAACGTTGCTGGGTATAACTAATTTTCTTGAAAAAGATTCAAGAGAGTTGCCCATTGATGCTGTAGAGGGATTCAAGTTGTTTTAAATTTTATGAAAGTATAAGTTACCTATTATATATCTTAATATTTGTTGAATATCTACCTTGTACCTACAACCTTTTGTAAGTGTAAGGTACAGGGACATGGAATACATGGTCCTTACTGTACTGAGAGTTTAGAGGAAGCAATGATATATTACACAGAACAGCTAGAGAATTAGAATATTCAAAATGCATGGTATTTCCAATGAATGGAATATGAGTTCCAGAAAAGAGAGTTTAGATGGACTAGAGTAGGGGGATGACATATTAAGGGGGAAATGGACATTTGTAAGGATGGGAGGGTGTATATAGGCAAAGAGAAGTTTCAGCGATGGGAAACTTATGTGCAAAGGTCCAGAGGGTGAGGTGAGCATGTGGCAATGTATTTGGGTAAACCTAAGACCAGTAGTTAGTTTAGATGACCTAGGCACAGGAAGAAGGGAAACCAAAAAACAGCTTAAAAGCCCTGTATGGTACCAAGAGTAATCAAATTCATAGAGATGGAAAGTTGAATGATGGTTTTAGAGGTTGAGGGTAGGGAGAATGGTAGTTATTGTTTAATAGGTACAGAATTTCAGTTTTGCAAGGTGAAAAGAGTTCTAAAAATGGGCTGAACAACAAAATGTGAGTGTGTTTAACACTATTAAACTATACACTTAGAAATGGTTTAAGATAACAAATTGTGTTATATTTTCCCATATAACAAATTTTACCATAATTTGGAAAAAAGCTTTGATTGGGAGTTCAGACTTGATTTGACAAGTTATAAAGTGACATTGAGGCTCATGCAAGAAAAAGTAACTCAAAAGTTCTTTCTTAGGATATATGAGTGTAGTTGATATTAAGACTGATTTAAGTGTGTGTGTGTAGGGGGGGGGGAGGCGAGGATCGGGGACAGCAGCCAAGGAGACCTAGAGAAACTGAAACCAGGATATTATACTTTGAAAGAGAAAATGGAGGTATAAAGAAAGAAATATATAAACCAAGAAAATACATCAGATATATTATGACTTTCTAATAATATTTTATAGTTTATTCTTTCCTTTGGACTCAGCCTCTATTCTGGTCTGAGTATCATTCATGGTCTGTTTAGATGTCAATGAGGAGTAGATGGAAGAGGGCTGGAGGAGAAGGCCACAGAAGGGAGTGTAAATACAGGATGGAAGAAGTCTAGATGGGGCCTCCGGAGCACTAATGTGTATGGCTCAGGAGGGGTGTGTGAAGGAGAATAAGCAGAAGTAGTTAGTGGGGTAGGAGAATACCAGGATCATGAGCGGTCCCTCAAGTCTGGTGAGGAATGGGTCTCACTCCAGGATGCTTTCCACAGATAGAGCTCCAGCACCTCTATTTTCCCTGGCATGGATGACAGGTTAGATCTGAGAGGAGATGAGTAAGACTAATACCAATCATGATGCAACTAATCCTCAACTCTCTTCTGAAGTAACAAATAATTTCTATATTCAGTGGGTCTACAGACATCTGGAGCCAAGTGGTATGTGTACGTGCATATATATCTATGTGTGTGTGCAAGCATGTGTGTGTATATACATGTGTTAACTTCCTCTGAAAATAGGGGTTCTCACCCTTGCCTTTACTTTAAATCACTGATGCCCAGGATGGACCTTGGACCAAATAGATTTAAATCTCTAAAGGTAGGACCCAGGTATCAGTGTAATCATCAGTGTTTGTTGAACAAACTTCAGCTCCAAATTATGTTCAAGTCACAAAATCAAACATATCAGTATGCCTCTAACAGCTCAGTTCTAGAAGTGGGAGGAGAATAGGTACTTGTAGATTATGATAATTAGGTTGAGTTCCATAAAAGATGTAAAAGCAAAATGGTTTGTTGGAGCACTGAGCAGGGAGTAGTTGACTTTGGGGAACCATTGATGGCTGTTCAGAGGAGGTGACAATAGAGTGACATTTCAAAAGCAAAGTAGGAACTTACCAGGCAGAAGAGTTTGTGGAAACAGAGTGCCTGGTAAAAGAGGAGTCCACATAACCATGAAAATAGTAGATGTTGTGCTACATGTAAAATTCAAAGAATCATAGAGATAAGGAGACATTGAAGATCATCTGGTAAAACTCCCTCTTTTGCAGTTGAGAAAAGTGAGGTTCAGGGAGAAATGAATTGCCCACAATTGTCCATTATATTCCAGGTGGAGTCAGAACAAGGACCCAGGTGTCTTTCCATCCCACCTGCAGGGTCTCTTATTTAGCATACTAGAGGCCCAGTGCACAAAAAAAACCCATGCACTGGTTGGGGGGGTAATCCCTCAGCCCAGCCTGCCCCTCTACAGTCCAGAAGCCCTCAGGGGTGTTCTACTGATGGCTTCCCTCTGTGGGAGGTGACCAGGCTGATCAGGGGAAAGTGCTGCCTCCATCATCCCACTGCTGCTGCCACTGCCGGCCTTCGCAGCTGCCAAGGTGTTTTCATCAATAGGAAGTCCAGTCCCTTCACCATGAAAAAAATGACAAACATTTTCAAGATGTCTCTTCCATAGGATATGACCTTCCTTTTCTTTCTTTCTTTCTTTCTTTCTTTCTTTCTTTCTTTCTTTCTTTCTTTCTTTCTTTCTTTCTTCCTTCCTTCCTTCCTTCCTTCCTTCCTTCCTTCCTTCCTTCCTTCCTTCCTTCCTTTCTTTCTTTCTTTCTTTCTTTCTTTCTTTCTTTCTTTCTTTCTTTCTTTCTTTCTTTCTTTCTTTCTTTCTCACTTGAGTGTATTTTTCCATTGATTTTTAGAGAATGTGAAAAGACAGAGAGAAATATCAATGTGAGAGGGACACTTCGATTGGTTGCTTCCTGCATGAGCCCTTACCTGGGCCCCGGCCAGGGAGGAGTCTGCAACCTAGGTACATGTCCTTGACCAGAATCGAACCCAGACTCTGCAGTCCGCAGGCCGAGGCTCTATCCACTGAGCCAAACCAGCTAGGGCAGCGTAAGACATTTCTTAGCCCCTCTTGCAGAAGACCTTCATTTTTACCTCCAGGAGTGAGGTGGAAAAACCCTATATCACCTTGGATTCTTATTATGCAAGCTACCAAGAATACTGTGAATGGCATACCAGGAGCTTAGCCAATGAACGATCAGAAAAGGTGTTTCCTCTGCAGCTCACCCACAGAGGCAGGACTGGCAGGCCCTCTTCTCTCTGGCCTGTGCTAACTGAGAGAAAGAGAGAGAGAGAGAGAGAGAGAGAGAGAGAGAGAGAGAGAGAGAGAGAGAGAGATTTGATAACACTATATATATAGTGTTTTCAAAGAGCTCTCTTTTCCTAATGAGTTATTAATGACTATGAAATAAATAGCCCTTGAGCACACACACTAGGCTCAGCACTGTGCTCTGTGCTGGGGATACTGCAGATGGTTCTTGCTTTCTCAGTGTCACATGTCGTGATGTAAAGGTGGACTGCTCATGCTCTAGAGTCACATCGCCTGCACGCACAGCTTAACTTGCCTCTAAACAGTTTGCAAATCTTGGGTGACATAAACTCTTAGTTTCTCACATATCAAATGGGCTACCTACGTCTCAGAGCTGTGGTGAGGATAGTAATAGAAACAGTGGTGTGCTGGTAAAAGTTTAACAACCAGGTCTCTAGGTTCAAGGTGAAGGTGGGGGAAACATTGGTTTGTAGCATTTGCTGGTTTCCATGGTGCAAATATTCTCCCCATGGCTCATTTCAAGCTATCAATATGACATCAGCCAGCTCACAAAATTCCTGAAAATTTAACACCCTGCCCTCATAAGTCAGCCTAGAACACCTCTGCATGGAAGGCATTTGGGATAGAGAGCAATTAGATCTTATTATTCAAAATGTGTTTATCATTCATATTATTCTTGTTATTTCTATTAGTCTTAACATCATGGAGACTGATGACTGAGAAGTTACAGGTGCTATGAGGATTAAAAGTTGTATAGGATGCTGTGGATATATGCCAGGGAAGTTGAACCTTCTTGAACTGAGATGACAGGGAAGGCTAAGAACAGTCCAAACACAGAAAACGGTACATGCAAAGGTCCTGGGGTAGAAAAGAACGTGTGATATAGTTGATGGCCACTATGAACAGGGCAGAGAGAATGAGTTAAAGAGAAGTTGGTTTCAAGCTGGAAGCGAGGGTTTTGGCTGCTTGGTTGGTCCTACCCCTAATGCACACTAAGGATGTTTTCAATCCGTATGAAAACACGAGGGGACACTGGAGTATTTTAAAGCTGGGGAATCTGTGATCAGATTTGCCTTTTTAAAGATTATTCGGGCTGCAGTGTAGAGAATGGTGTGGAAGTCAGGGAGGATTCAGGGAGGTCAGTTGGAGGCCAGTGTGGTGGCCCCAGCCAGAAATGATGGCAGCTTGGACCAGCATGCTGGTCGTGGGGACAAGCTGAAGTGGATGAAATTTAGGAGGTAGCATTGACGGGACTTGATGATTGATTGGATAGGGTAAAGGTTGGGGAAGGGAGGGGAGGGGAAGACTCTCAGGTTTCAGGTTTGAAAAATTGGGTGGGTTTAGTTTAGAAAGTGACTTTTAAAAAGGTATAAAGTGCTAAAGGGAGTTCAGGGGAAGGACAAAATCCTTCCAGCTGGTGAGGAGGTGGGGAGATTTAATATTGTAAAGATGT